ATGTGGAGCTCGCCCAGTCATTTTCACATTTCCATAAGTTTTAGCTTGATGTGTCAGGACACAAAGAGTGTATGAATCGTAATTATTGTGAGGTATCAAAGCAGAGCATTCTGTGGCATAGCCCCCCCCCCATTTCAGAGGGCGACTCTCGACCTAGCCCTATGCTGGAGTTGCATCAACAGTAGCTTTTGAAGAGTGTGACAGCCAGGTGAACTAGGTGAAAAGTGGTAGCTACCACAGGGGTTGGTCATTGTAATTGGATTATGAGTTCAAAGGGATCACACAATTGGCACTACTGACGTGCACTTGAGTGCACTACTTGAGAGCACTATTGAGGTGCACCTGTGTGCACTACCGATGTGATAAACATGCACTTGAAACCATATTTACATATTGTTCATGATTGCTATTATTAGCTATGATCTTCTTGGCAGGGGAAGAACTCCCTATAAGTGACACGGTAGTCTGTAGCTACCAGGTTCCCATGCAAATGATACACATGCCTAGGAAGGAAGAGCTTCTGGGGTCGAATCCTGCTGGCAGAGCTTTCCTTTCTAGTGGGCTACCTTTCTTCCTCCTCTTCTGACTTACGCAACCATCACTACTCTGACGTCTGAATTTGAAGATACGGGTGCCAACACTTCTTTGCGTTAGCCTAACATAAACGCGTACCTATGATCTCGTTTTCTAGCGTACTAGCAATTCGAATGCGGTTAGTACTGCTTCTCTAGCTACTTCTCCTTCTAACAGCAACGCTTCTCACCATTAATTTGTATCCTACCCGGCATGAAATGATGGGAGTCGATACGCATATTGAGGTAGGCAACCTGGTAAAAGAAAGCTAGCTATCGGCGCAGGTGTCAGTGCTACGTGTTGGCCCCGATGTTAGTTGGATAGGTCTATAGTCAATCGGCATGCTCTCGTGCCAGGGAAATGCTAATACGCGTACGTGCGCATGCGACGACGCGTTGAGTCCATGCCGATCTCAGTTTTACCTAGCTACGTAGCTATGCCACGGAAAGCCTGCGTGAAAAACCTTTTTACCGCGCCACGAATACCGCTGCGCATGCGAGCTGATGAGGGTTGTGTAATTTGCCGTTGACACGCCCTTAGCTAATTCTATCATCAATTTTCCGCGTAGAAGACAGTATTGAGGGAAACGCGACTGAGTGCAGCAAACTGTAACACTGAAGACCCAACTTCTATCCGTCTCACAGCTGGGACAAGATATAGCAAGTTGGTGTAAGTTCGTATTGCCTTGTATATAGCGTGTTTATGTTTTTGGGCCTGGAGTTTCTGTTGATGAGGCGATCTTGCACTGAGGCCCCTTCATCAAAAGTCAATTATTAGCGTAGTATGGGATTTGCACCGTATTGAGTCGTTGTAGATAACCTTTCTGCCAGCTCCCGACATCAACTACACCAATCTGTAGCGGTAGCTATTAGCCATACCATCACCCAGAAGAGGCTGGGCCTACTGTGTTATCGAAGAAGAAACGACATTACAGGCTTATTTCAGGATTATCATGTGTTAGAAGCTATAAGTAGTCTTTTCTGGGTGATGAAAATATGGGTAAGCTTCTTGAAATAGATAATGTGACCCGCTAGGTTATTCGCAAGTATCCACAACACCGCACTATGGTCCGCACAGCGCGGGCCGCGGGTGCACCCGCTGCGCGCGGCGCGTGGGCATGCAATCAAGACGCGGAGGCAAAGCCTACAGCAGCTGTAGGTGGACGCTGTGAGCGGTACATCGACTTTGCTCAAACGCGATAAGGTAACACTAGCCCTTTGGACGCCATAGGTGTCTCCTTAAATAAGCAGAAATTGATGTATAACATATTAGCGCCTAGTATTATAGCCATATATAAATTCTTATGCACTTATGGAGGCTCTGTGCATATATATATGTAAATTGCGCCCAAAGGGCTAGAGTCCCACAAGTAGTTTAGCAAAACCATCGAATTTTTACTTGTATATACATTATAGCTCAGCACGTAGTGCAGAAATCCCATAGCGGTTCATAATAGCTAGACAGCATAGTTGCAGTGAGTTCGAAGCCTGGAGCAGGGTGTTTGACCATTCGCAGATCACGTGAGATTTGGCCCCAATATGCTAGTGATAATAACTTGAACAATTCCTTCATTATCATGAGGAAAGTTTCTAAATCCCCTTCATTTCATGAGAGTAGCTGATGCACCGTGGCAAATCATCATCCTAGGTCACAGATAAGTTGGTCGCGCTCAACACACCAACCTGTGTATAAAAATAGTGCTGGTAGTCCACAGTTTGCAACTGAGATGATTGTTTTTCTACAGTGTGAACCTGAGAGCCGAAACACAACAGTGAATAAAACCATCGGAATCGAACTGTCTGTGACCTGCAAGTTTTAATGACAGCTATGGCGATTATAATGCTGGGAAGTACTTTGTGTCTCCATCTTGTCTTAACTTTTGTCTCAGCTAACCCAAACTGTCGCCCACGGGATAGCTTGGTTTACTCCTCCCCAATAGTTACAGTTAGCTATTCCCACCTTTATTCAAGTATGGAAGAAGTTCTTAAGACCAAAGACTTAGATCGAGCTAAAGAACGGGTTCATGAGCAACCAGCAAGTGATAATATATTTAAGCTTTTCAGTGCAAGTTGTCAATGGAACTAACGTATCGTGTCCTGATGATCAGTGGCATTCAATGGCATTTTGTCATTCAAACTCATCAGATTACGATTGGGATCTTTGCACCCCAATGCATATGACTTATGGGTATCAATATGATCCTGTACGTGAGGCAGCGCCTTGGCTGTCTTCCCTACATGGCAGTGTTGTACTCTTTGCAATGTTACTAACAGTGGAGAAAGATTTCCCGGTAGAGGCCTACTTCGAACTCACATTAGAGATAGATGAACTTTATTGCCATCCATCGGAGAATTTAATGAGATGTGCAGCATCAGAATTGCTGAGCTGGGTAAGTTGCTCTTATAGCGTGGAGAGCAAAACCATGTGTGCATAGTCTCGCTTACCAGACCGACGTAATGCTTCCTGGATGGTCTGGCATGCGAGACCTTATATGCATTGGCGGTTCAAACGCAGCCAGAGCACATTTGCTTGCCAATAATTATTATGTATTGCATTTTTTGTAGCATTATTTCCTCGAATACTATAATATTACTTTTCTGTTGCATATCTTCCAGATCAAAGTATACTCACAGTACTCGGAACAGAGTAGTATTCCTCTCAATTTTGATCATAATCAGAAGGGAAGTGTATTTTTTTCTGACAATGTTGAATTTAGTGCTTTTAAAGGAGTACATCAAGATATATTTATCAGGATTGGTTTGGCTGAGTTTATGTTTGTGTCGCTATCGGTGGCATTAATCATAGCAGTGTACTTCCCATCAATTCACGACCAGATAGTTTCCAAATTAACCAGACTGGAATATCAGAGCCTCTACTGGGGAACTGCTGTGGTTTGTAATGTCTTTACCTATGGTCTGGTGTTTGTTATTGGAAGAGGAGCACACATATTTTTGAACTATTTTTTGACACTAAATAACACAGTGTCCATTGTGGCTGCTGTTCAAGAAGTGGTTGTTCATGTTATCCTCTTGGTTGGTTCTGTAATTCCACTCATTAGAGGCGGTCGCTCTGAAACTCCTGTTCCAAAGGGAATTATTAGTTCTCTGTTTCATACCTCATTTTGTTGCTTTATTTGTTGTGCAGCAGTAAGTAGAAAGAAGACAGCTAAAGTAATGATTGTATTCAGCTTTATGAATTTCATATATCACAATGTAATGGATCTAATTTCCCTAGCATTCATTATGTTTGTTGATAAGTTTAGAGCTGAGGCAATAACTGTTTCAATTTTGTACGTTTTATTGGTTACTTTTCTTGCATTATCAATTTCCTTTGTACTTTTTCGTTTGGTGCAATTGATGCGTCAAAAACAACATTTGCAACTACTGACTTTTTTTGCAACACTCATAGTCTTTGCTCTTGCAGCTATATTTTTCCTCATACTTTTTATAGCCATATTTTTGAGTATTAACACAAGTGGATTGAATGTTTTAGCTGGTGCTCTGTTGCCATCAATTATTCTGTCTGCTGGTTCCTGGTACATCAAGAACAGATTTCAAGAGGAACTTCAAACCCCTACTGATCATGAGGGAACAAAAACTGGTGAACCTTGGAACGAATTGGCTAAAGTCTCCAATTATGATAAAAATTTAGGGCTCAGTTGGAGAAGTTAAGAACACTACTGTGTTATGAATGTTGTCGTCATTCTTTGCATCTTCACCTATGTTCTTTTGCTGCTTTTAACAAACAAAACACATATACACACTTCAATTGGCAAATTTAATTGCTGCATTGCACATTCTTCTGCTGTTGTTTGTTTGTAACTAAAATTTGTTTAAACGCTCAATATTGTAACTTTACTTAGTAGTTCAACCAAAAGAACTTCTATTGATCCCCATACCACCAATTACACTCACAAAATGTACCTTCATGGTGTTTAGAAAGCTGTGAGCAAAGTTCCAGTAAGAGACACTCTGGTCTTTTGCAACATGCTTGATGTTAGTGGAGTGGGGAGGTCCTCCTGGTGTGAGATGGTAGGGTAGGTGGACTCTTAGTGTTTTCGGTTAGCTCTTAGTATAAAGATTAGACCGAGGATTAGACATCGACCTGGACGGTTGGACAGATCAGGGGTTCAGGCCAGGTTGACGTAGTTGCCAACCCGACTGTCAACCGTCCCTGGAAATCCCATGGTCTTGGAAAAATTAGTGCCATTAGCAATGTCAATGTTAGTGCCCCAGGGTCCAGGCCAGGATTAATTCTGCCCACAGGCCTGTCGCCATTTTCCGGTGCTCACCTATCCGTGTCCAGAAAAAAAGCGCGAAATTCAGAGGAATCGCGAATTTTTTATGGACGTTCCGTGGCTTGAAGTCCTCAAGGCAGAGCAAGGGAAGCTGTGGAAGTTCAATCCGAACTCAGCTGACGAACTGCCATCACCGAGAACGCTGAAGGTCCACTTATACCGTACGAACTAACACCGGGAGGTCTGCCCCACACCACCGTAATAAAGTACATCTACATTGCCCGAAATCCAAAGGATGAAAGCGTCTCCTTTTGGCACGTCACTCAAACACAGCTGAAAATGTTCTCCCGAGATGATTCGGATCCTTGGGATAATTTTTTCGCCGATTTCCTAGCAGGAAGAGCATCAGCAAGTATCTATGGAGGTTGGCTAAATCATGTTCTTGGGTGGTGGGCACACCGAGATGAACCAAATGTGTTGTTCCTCAAGTACGAAGACCTGAAGAAAGAGCCGCACAAGACAGTGCAGATGATATATAGGAGTGTGAGCCTCTCACAGAGGAACTGGTGAAAATGGTGGTGGAGCAGTCTTCATTTCAGAGCATGTCAAAGAATACTTCTACAGTTAACAACAGGAAGAGAGAGGGTGCAGATTTTCCAGTTGAATTTCTCAGGAAGGGGGTTAAGAACCACTACACCACTGAGCAAAGCATGAAATTTGAAAAGAAAATTGGGAGAGTTTTGAGAGAGAACGGCCTCGAGTTTGATTATGACTAGGTTCCTTTCAAGAACCCCATGCTGTCCTCACTTAGGCAGATGTTTATAGGTTGCATGAGTGAAAAACGCTGATTTTTATAAATGTGCAGTGCAATGGTGCCTCCTACAGTATAACTCCATGAATCTATCCCTCTACTATACAAGCCACATGATAAGAAAAAAGGACAGGTCCCTTTATTTTTGCTATCATTCTATACCTGTACACATCTCTTGTACACATGTAGAAAAACCATGTGATGCCAAGAGAAAAAGATGGGGAGCTCTGGACAGCTGTTTCTGGCTTGTTGGCCCACGTCAGCAGGGCGCACCACACGAGTTAGGCTGACATGAGCGCAGCACTTGTGGTTCACTAATGAGATTCATCCCCACAAGGCTTTGCCACTGGTATGTGCTGCCAGACATTCGTGGTTTGGAGCCTAGGCCCCTCCCCACTCCTGCCGAGCCAAAACCGAATTCAAAATACTGGCATAGTGGATTGGGCTGCAGCAATGAAGCCAGCAAGCACCCATATCCTGCCAGTGCATACACATGTAGAAAAACCATGTGATGCCAAGAGAAAAAAGATGCGGAGCTCTGGACAGCTGTTTCGGGCTTGTTGGCCTACGTCAGCAGGGCGCACCACACGAGTTAGGCTGACATGAGCGCAGCACTTGTGGTTCACTAATGAGATTCATCCCCACAAGGCTTTGCCACTGGTATGTGCTGCCAGACATTCGTGGTTTGGAGCCTAGGCCCCTCCCCACTCCTGCCGAGCCAAAACCCGAATTCAAAATACTGGCATAGTGGATTGGGCTGCAGCAATGAAGCCAGCAAGCACCCATATCCTGCCAGTGCATACACATGTAGAAAAACCATGTGATGCCAAGAGAAAAAAGATGCGGAGCTCTGGACAGCTGTTTCGGGCTTGTTGGCCCATGTACAGGTGTTTCAAAACTGAAAAGGAACTGATTGTAACCCACTCTAGCTCGATGATGACTGAGTCGCTGCGCGCGCACGCGATCGTATGGCACGCGCCGTTTGTCACAAAATCCTAACCGCTCAAATCCGGGATTTTAAAATCCCGGATTTGAGCGGTTAAAATCGCGCGCACGCAGGTGTAGAATCCCCGCACACAACAGTCCAAAGGTCATTCTCTTTCATATGCACGTGTGAGTTCGGAAAGAAGGTGAGTGGACAATAAAATCTAGTGGATTTTGCTACGCAGAGGACTTATAGCGTACAAAACCACTCTTACAACGAAGTGTATAGGCGTATTTTATTGTCACTTCGTCAGTCATGAAGACCATACTGGGGACACGTATCATTACTGTTCCAGACAAGGGTGAGTGTCACCATCGGTTTGTTAGTAATGTCAGCGAATTGATCTCTCCCCGTAGTGACTATATCGTGCAAATGCCGCACGGTGACTGTCAAGGGGCCTCGTGGAACGCTCACCAAGTCGTTCAAGCACATTGACCTGGAGTTGACTCAGTTGGGGAAGAAGAGGATACGAGTTGACATCTGGTTTGCCGCCAGGAAGCAGATGGCATGTCTCAGAACCATCTGCAGCCACATCGAGAACCTCTTCAAGGGAGTCCTCTATGTGAGATTGGCTTGCTTCGCTCTTTTTTTTTCACATTCACTCTCTTGACATGCTTCCTTCCTCCTCCTCTCTCCCTCCCTGCCCTGTTATCTCTATCCATGAGCATCTATCCATGAGCATCTCTCAACCTAGTTTTGCCAAACTACCGGTTGCGTAATGTAAGTGGTGGCAAATACTATTATTCTGATACTCTGATGGTGACAGAATGAAGCAACCTTTGTGCAAAACAGTGCTTTCTGATACGTACCCATATTCCTTTGATCTTCTTATATGTAAGCGCAGGTGCTGTTGGACCTTTATGAGCATAAATGTCCTTCCCTTCCTCCCTCTTCCCTCGTATTTCCCACCCAAGGGCTACCGGCTGAAGATGCGTGCAGTGTACGCTCATTTCCCCATCAACCTTGTCCTCAGTGAGGAAGGGACGGTCGTGGAGGTCCGAAACTTCCTGGGAGAGAAGTACACGCGGACCGTGCGGCTGCGCAATGGCGTGAAGGCCTCCACCACAAAGGTCAAGGACGAGGTGGTCGTGGAGGGAAACGACCTGGAGCTGGTGACTCAGTCTGGTGAGATCACTCAACGGGACCTGTTCCCTGGCCTTATTGTAGCATGCTGTAAAAGTGGCAGTCAATAATTTTACAAGGTTTTGGTGGTACAAGTGCAGTAAGTAAACCCCCTAGTTATTGCACAGTAAGAAGAAGTGTGACGTCTGCAATGTGATGAGCGGCAAATAGTCGCCCCTGTGGCACCCACTTGCCTGTGTATCATTTCTCTCTTTTTCCCTCTCTGTCTTCAGCTGCCCTCATCCACCAGAGTGTTCTTGTCAAGAGGAAAGACATTAGAAAGTTCCTAGACGGCATATATGTCTCTGATCGAGGCACCGTTGATCAACCAACTGACTAAAACTTTCGTTTAGTTGTATATACTTGTTGGATGTTACTTTCGCATAATTGATTCAGTTGTGCGCATGTGCGTTTGTGTGGGGTCAAGGTTCGCTGCAATAAAATTTACAGTCGTCAGCAGGTATTGGTATAATATGAGAGTTTATATGGCTAAGTTTTCGTTTGCCGACGCTGGGATTGCAGCAGTAATAGCAGCGGGTGTGGCTGAGCTGCGTTGGCAGCAATGCTAACAGCCCCGGTCTTTTACCCCCCTCTAAGAGGCCCTCGCATGACCGAGAAGACCGGGCTCACTACTAGCAGGAAGCTACAAAGGAGCGGCTACGGAAGTGCGCTCAGCACCACCACTGCCTTGACTGCTGTCCCTCCAGGTATACATAAACCTTCGCTCTGCAACCCGCCCTGGATGACGTCCGACTCCGTGGACGTGGAGATGCGCCCCAGCACCCGAGGCGAGCTCCAGTTTCGTTGCATCACCTCCCTGAGCGTCCGTCTCCCCGAGGAACCTTGGTACAAGAGAATCCGCGTTCCTGGCGTCTTTAACCGAACCTCTCCTCACTCGAACGCCGTCCACACGACAAAGTACACCGTCATCACGTTTCTACCCAAGAACCTATGGGAGCAGTTCCACAGATTTGCCAACATTTTCTTCCTCTTTATAGCCCTCCTCAACTTTGTCCCAGAGGTGCAGGCGTTTGGGAAAGAGATTGGCTACCTCCCGCTCCTGTTTGTGCTCGCTGCGACCGCCGTGAAAGATATTTTCGAAGACTATCGCCGCTACCGCTCTGATACAGAGGTCAATGCAAAGCTGTGTCGTGTGTACAACAGGTGAGTGTGTGTGTGGTGTGTGTTCCTGTTGCTCTAGCTGCAGTCTGGTTGATAATGGAGTGTGCCCGGTGTAGCACACAAGATGGAGCCTTTGGGACAGTATGTAAAAGTACCACGGGTGAGATCGGGTGTATGCTGTCTTGCTGTACAGGAGTGTGTGGGGGTCGCATGTGTTTGCATAGGGTACCTTGTACCTCATGATGCTCACAATTAATTCCTGGTCCAATCATAATTTGTATGCTGTTGCAGAGCTGTGTTTAGTAAAGCTTCTATTGGTGATGTGTGGTTTATTCCATTACGTGTTGTGTATACATGACTGGTGGTACAAAACTGAAACCGTATTTGATTCGCTATAAAATCCCCTTTGACAAAATATACTCTGAAAGTGTATACGTGTAGTTAGGGTCTAGTGCCTTTATATACTCGGCACTGTGTTTGTAAGACGTGTGTCTCTTGGTCTCAACATTTTAATTCGTTTTTATTGTCAAAAAGTGTCACTATTCTCAACATTATGGTGCATTAGAGAATAGGCAGGTGACTGGCACATGCTTGATGCTGTAGATGCTTGATGTGTGTGTGTGTGTGTGTGTGTTTGTGTGCTGCTGTTATAGGGAGCTGAAGACCTATGTGCAGCGACAATGGACGAACGTTCGAGTTGGAGATTTCGTGGAGCTGGAGTGTGACGAGGTTATCCCGGCCGACCTCTTACTCCTCGCGACCTCTGACCCCCACTACATCTGCTACATTGAGACAGCCAACATTGACGGAGAGACCAACCTGAAGCAGAGGGGGGTGGTGCCTGGTATTGTGGATGACATGTTGCCACTGGTGAGTTTTAGAAAATAAATTCCTCTATTGGAACTTATAGCCAGGTCACGTGTTCTCTGTTATGTTAGCGTGTGTCAAATAACCTCATTGCGTAGTCCTACAATTCTTGCCCTATTATACACTTATTGTGCATCTGTTATAAAGGAGCTACTGCAGTGAGCATGTTAGAGAGCTACGTTTTTCGAATGTAGACAGAGTGAACCAGAGGCTGCAGAACAAGGGCTGTGACTATGTGCACAATGAGTACATGAATAGTGCTGGAATTTAAAACAACCAAAGGACAAGAAAGCTTCTATTAGTCATGTGTATATACTCCTTTCAATGTCTAAACTTGTAATATACTTCCATTCTTATCCAGGGACCACTGGATCACTTTGACCCTAGTTATTTCTCTGGAGAGCTGTTTGCCGAGCAACCCCACTCCAAAATCAACCAGTTCAACGGATACGTGTAAGAAAAACCACTGTATATACAGGCTTTCATCATACGTACATTTTAAGGTTTTCTCATGAGAAAATTAAGTCAAAACACTGTAAATTTGTTCCTTGTGTAGTGTCATGATGATCCTATGTATGTTAATACACAGAGATGTTGGGGGTGGTAGGAGATTCCCAGTGGACAGAGGCAACCTGTTACTGAGAGGATGTGTCCTCAGGAACACCACCAGAGTTGCCGGCCTCGTCGTGTATGCAGGTGTGTACACATGTACATTGTTCGTCACATGTCACATGTTTACGTAAATGCTAATAATGTAAGCAGTTTAGCGTAAGTTTGTTTGGGGCATCTTTTTCTGTGTAAAAGTCATGGAACCTATGTACAAACTGTAAACAGTGAAAGTATTGGGTGAATGCATTGATTATGGAGGGGAGGAGCTATTCATTTTCTTTCTTTTTCGACCTCTGCTCTGCAATAGCTACCCTTCCTTTGAATGGTGTTGGGTGCCTTTAATGTGGCGTGTGTAACCACTTTTTTGTGCTTGAGGTCATCTGTTTTAGATGAACACTTTTCTTAGCTGCGATAGCTGTGATGTGCATATACAGTATGTATGAAACTACCTCAAGCACACATTGAATCTAGCTCAAGTTTAGCCCATCCACCTGTATTTCGTATCACATGTATATTGAAGCATGCATACTTCATGAAACCACTCATTATGGCAGTACGCTTGAGCTAATATATAGAACTGTTGAACTGTTGAACTGTACCAACCTGTTCACGATATCCCATCAACCCTCCAGGTCACCAGACAAAGGCACTGCTCAACAACAGCGGGCCGCGGGCCAAACGCAGCAAGCTGGAGAAAGACATCAACACAGACGTCTTCTTCCAGCTGGCCCTTCTTCTTGTCATCTGCACCATTGGAGCCATTGGTGTGTGTATATTCACCTCGATCTGTTTACTCGCATGCACATCCCAAGATACAACTTTAAATTCTAATATCAGGCCAATTGAAGGGTGTGGCTTGCTGAAAAGTAGGCCAATCCTGCTAGTAGTGTTTGTAAGAAGTGACACACAATAATACATTTATGCATTGTGTTCTTTGTACGCAATGTACCCATGTCACACTCACTGTGCAGTGTTTATAGCTATTGTTCCTCACTGTGTATGTAGCTGTGTATATGCTTCTATGCAAACAGTATTTTTGTGCTGTCATCTTTTAGACATGACTTCTAAATGTGTATACTGGATTAATACTCACAGGTAGCGGTGTATGGACAAGTGAAAATGTCGGCAAGAACATCACTTATTTCCCCTTCAACGACCTGGACCCTGCACTCGAGGCCTTTATTAGGTTCTGGACCTACATCATCATTTACCAGGTACACACAACCTGACTGTTCATGATAATAATAGAATTCAAGGGCACTATACTATGCCGCATTCACAACATGTTGTGTACATGCAAAAGAACCTCAGTTGTACTTCACAAACGTGCAGAATGCACCGAAATCTAATGCGAGTATACAATACTACTGTTTATTGTGTAATGGGATAATCTCATGACAATTCACAACATGAATTCGATGCATGCATGCATGTCATGATTGGCTTTTCGACCGCCAGTTGTACATACAGTATGAGTCACCTCAGTGTTTCCAGCCTCACTGTCTCCCCACGGCAGGTGATCATCCCGGTGTCTCTCTACGTGACCATCGAGATAATCAAGATCATCCAGGTCTACTTCCTCAACTGGGACCTGGACATGTACTACGAGCCAACCGACAGGCCGTTCCTGGCCCGGGCCCTCAACGTCACCGAGGACCTGGGCCAGATCCAGTACATCTTCTCCGACAAGACCGGGACTCTGACAGAGAACGAGATGGTGTTCCGCTGCTGCTCCGTGGGCGGCAGGAACTATCCCCACACCCTCACCACTATCACAGGTGTGTGTATGAGTGTGTGTGTGTGTGTGTGTGTGTGCATGTGGCGGGGAGGGGGGACTACTGAGAGTAAGAGGTGTACATGTAGTACTAATATTGAGGAGTGTGCATTGATGTGTATACGTAACTTTGTATTCAAAGTTTTTTCATAAGACGGAAGCTGTTGCCAATAGTCTATTGCTCCCATAGAACCTGCCTTCAGCACACATTTTTTGTTTTTACACGAGACTTATGCATAACCGTTACAGGAGGGAAAGGTGTAGAGGGAGGAGAGGGAGGAGATGTGGCTAATGATCCAGACAGTGGCAATTTTCAAGAAGAAACTGACTTCCCTTCACCCCCTGTTAGTACTAATGTTTTTGTGAGTGTTGTGGTGTCACTCCATCACTGTGTTACATACTACCAGAGCTCCAAGCTGGTGTTGGATGCTGGTCTAGTGAGGGACGTGGAGAACACGGGACTCTGTCACGACTATCTCCAGGACTTCTTTGTGGTCCTGGCTCTCTGCAACACTGTCGTTCTCTCCAGGAAGACTCAGGATACTCAGGATGGTCTGTTATCCTTTTTCAGTTTTCAGCATGTGTGTGCACAAAAGAAGTAGTCCCTTATAATTATAGCTTCCTTCTTGTTTCACTTCTCTTTCTGTTATGAGTGTGTGCTGTATAATTCTATGCTATTTGCATGCATGTTGCATGTTCTATTTTGGTTTCCTCTCTGCATACACATAGTCTCTGTTTTGGTTTGCATACATAGTACTCTCTTTTTCATTTGTATGAGTACTTAAAACTTAAAAACACACTACCCTTTAGTTCCAGATTTTTCACATGAGGCGACATGGGATAGGGACAGACTGGCTGAGTATGTTCAAACCATCACGTATGAGGCTGAATCTCCAGATGAAGCTGCTCTAGTCGAGGTTTGTATGTACACTTGTATTGAAAATATCGCTTGCTGTGCACTCTATCCAATATTTTACTATAATTATGCAACTGAGTTGCCCTGGTAGCTCAGTTGGTAGAGTGCTCGCCCACACAGCAGAGTTTCGTGGGTTCAAATCCCACCGATGGCAGCTCTTATTTTTCCCAGAGTTGTCCTGGGTGTAGTTGATTTGTTGCCTTTACTTTGCTTTGACCTTGTTGTTGACATGTGTACCCAGTAAGTCAACATTACCATTCAGGGCTATAGACGTGGCGCATCCAGAGCTTGTGGTAGTCTTTCTAGTGTTCCACACTGCACCTGATCTTGTACCCGTCCTTAACACTATAACACTATGTGCATCATTAGGTACTCCATATATTGTGTGAACTCAAACTGAGGTGTGAGCAATGGGCAAGGGTGTGTTTAGGCTACGCCACATTGTTCCATAGTCACTACTACTAGTCCTACAGGTTAATACACATGTACATTCTCTTTGTTTGCAAACACAGGCTGCTCGTAGCTATGGCTATGCACTGGTAGCTCGCTCTCCCGGTCGAGCGGTTGTGACCACACCCACTGGCCGTCTCCTGGTTTACCACACTCTACATGTACTGGAGTTTGACTCTGAACGCAAGTGCATGTCGGTTGTCGTCAAGGAAGACTGGAGCGGGAGGATACTGCTCTACTCCAAAGGGGCTGACACAGTCATATTTAGCAACTTGGCTCACCCTGATACTGGTGTTTTGGTGGAGAGTGGGGAGGAGGAGGAGGAGGGACCAGGGGAAGAGAGGAGGGAGAACAGAAGAGAACTAACTGAGAATCGTCTCACTCTCTATGCAAAGGAGGGGCTGCGCACTCTCTGCATGGCAAGGAGGGTAAGGTGCAGTATACCATGTACATGATGTCATACTAGCCATAATGAAAAGCACTAAAGTGCAAACCCACGGCGAACTGTGTATGCGCTGTACCGCTATTTGATGGGCTGGGCGTTTACTCGTGGTCTCCTGCTAGTATATAGCTCGCGGAGAGTCTAATGCAGGCTAGCTACAGTAGTAGATAGCTTGCGGGAGTCGATACACGCCCTTCGTTGTGGCTTCTTCTGCCTCCGAGGTACACAGAGCAAGCGGATCAGGTTGGGGTAAGCCAGTGCTAATTAGCATATTGGCTTGTTCACTTGGTTTCACACCATAACTTTCATTTTTACCAAAATCGCCATTTTCAAAATAAAGCCAGTGTGGCACTGAACCCGTTGGTATCTCTTTTTGGCCGTGTTGTTGCACATAGCGGGAGAAAACGTGGTAACAGACAGAAGCCGAGGCCGCGCGCCGAGGGTTAAATTAAGAAGAACCACCACCTCATTTACCCAGTATACACATAAATATTGCACCTTTCCCACTCAAGTATTGTGTGTGGTGTGATGGATAAAGACTCACGCTCTAGATCGTGAGGTCAGCGGTTCGATCCCAGGCTGGTGGTGTTTTTTTTATAATGATGTAATACATGTATGAGTGTTGATATAAGAGGAACGTTTTTTCATCATCTCTCGTGGCCAGCCCAAGTGGCTAAGTGGTTAGAGACGTGGGGACTGTCACATAAGGTGCCCGGTTCGAATCCCAGACCCGCACTGAAACTGACAGGTGGTCCAGAGCATTGGCTGGGAACAGCTCTGGTTCCTCCCCTTACCCACGAATCTACCATTGACCCACATACATCTCAAAGGGCAGCGTACAGTTCGGCATCGCACTGCGTCCGTAGACGTCTGTCTGGAGAGATGGAGGGCTGGCCCATTATGTTTTTTTTTTCAACCTTAGAATTGTTTTTCCTAAAACAATCCATGAATAAGTTTAAATGGTGCAAGACTTCAGTTATCTTTTTTTAATGCATGACCAGTATTTTTAACCCTCGGCGCGCATGCGCTAGAGGGTTATAGTACTTGGTTTGTCATTTCGTCCGTCCGTCCGTCCGTCCGTCTGTCTGTCTGTTACCACGTTTTCTCCCGCTACGCGCAACAAGACGCCCAAAAAGCGATACCAACGGGTTCAGTGCCACACTGGCTTTATTTTAAAAATAGCGATTTCGGTAAAAATGCTGCATTCGAAAGTTATGGCGTGAAAAGCAAGTCAAGGAGCTAATATGCAAATTAGCACTGGCTTACCTCGTCCAGCTCTGCGTACCTTGGAGGCACCAGAAGTTGCAACGCAGGAGGAGTATCGACTCCTGCGTGCTATCTAGCAGTGTAGCAAGCCTGTGACCGACTCTCAGCGAGCTGGTAAGCGACCACGAGTCGGTAAAAGGGTAAAATTGGACCAGCCCACCAATTAACAGCGCCGCGCATGCGTACGGTGTAGCGTGTACGTCATCTGACGTACACCTACCTTGCATTGCAGGTGAGCTGCTGAGCATGTGTATACAAATTAATCACGCCCACTGCGCCGAGGGTTAGCACTTCAGTGCCTTTCATTTTACATATGTAAGAAGCCTCTCTTTGAATTGCCATAAGATGAAATGTATTTTAATGCATGACCAGTTTTGATATGTAAGACGCCTCTCGGCAACTCTTTTGGATTCCTCATTACCATTATTTTTGGTATGCAGATTGCCCATGTCCTTTCTGCTTTTGTCATAATGTCAGAAAAACTAGCGCCACAAAGCTACCACTCTTCATGTTGAGTTTGTGTGTAACGTTGACTACAGATATGAAGATTACTTTCAAGTGCTTCCATTAACCCTCGGCACCCATGTGCAGCGAAGGTTTGGGTAAAGAAAGTAAATTGACGACGCATAATCAAGTCTATCAATTAGCGGTATCGCACATGTGTATTGGTTCGACATTTCTAGTGCGGGGGTTTGCACTTTAGTTTTATTGTTCCTTGTTGTTGTTGTTGTTGTTGTTGTATCAGGTGTTGGGAGGAGAGGAGTATGGTGACTGGGTGGAGGGGAGGAGAGAGGCCGAGGTGGCTCTGGAACAGAGGGAGGAGAAACTGTTTGCCTCTGCCAAAGCCATAGAGTCACAACTAGAGCTACTGGGTGAGCTGGGACACCAATTTCCGTCTTACTCTCTGTGTAGGTAGTGCCGTGTGTGCATGATGCACTGTCTTTAAGTTCTTGATTTGATGCATATGCTTGTCCCAATGCTGTAAAAATGTCCCAGCCCAACCCACAATATTTGGTGAGTCACAGGTATTGTATCTCTAAAATTTGCATAGTACATACATGTGCAGTACGTAAGAGATAATGTGCGTTTAGAGTTCTATACGTGATTTATGGGAACGAGGGGTGTGGTCGAGAGACTCATACAGCACGAGGTGCAGCCGAGTGCTGTATGGGTCTCGAGACACAACCCGAGTTCCCATAAGTCATGTATAGAACGATAGGACGCACATTATGTGTTTTATTGTAGCAGTCGTCGACCTCCAGCGAGAGAAATACGACTGCGTATCCTACTACCCATGCGCACGTGCGCACTCGTTGGCTTCTCGAGTGAGTTCTCTGTTCTCGAGGCTACCGTAATTGAACAAGGTCGTGGTGGTGGCTCTTTCTCCCTCAGAGAAACTCGTTTCATAGGTCGCTGGGCCGTTTGACCGGTCGGTGTGCCGTGACCGCGGTCTCGCTTGCCACTGGTAGCTGAATGAAGGGGTGTGGTCGCCTCAGCCATCCCTCGCCTCTACAGACTCTACAGAACAGTCATCCCTCGCCTCTACAGACTCTACAGAACAGTTTTTGTCTACACTATGGGTACGATGCTGCTGCTATGTAGTTCAATATTGGTCATATTGAACGCGTCTACAATACGGGAAATAAGAGTATGCGCGGCTCCTTTGATCCGCCCACGCAAGTCACAATAATTTTTTTTTGTACGCTTTGTATAATGTATACTGCCATTGTGTAGGTGCCACAGGTATTGAGGACCGACTGCAGAATGGAGTTCCTGAGACCATTGAGAGTCTGAGGATGGCTGGGATAAAGGTCTGGGTCCTTACTGGAGACAAACAGGTCAGCTATACTGACACGACATCACCTCTGAGTAGGTCAGAGTTGAAATGTGACTGCTCTTTTTGCAGGAAACAGCAATCAATGTAGGGTTTTCCTCTCGTCTCGTCAGTGAGAACATGGATCTCATCAAGATCAATGCTTCCTCCCTTGTAAGTGAAGTCTCCATGTGTATACGTGTCAATATACGTACTACAGTGAAACCTCGGGAAAAGCTTGACCTTTCTAATAGAACGACACTGGTTCTGCCCCATTTGATACTTCAGAAAAAAGGACACCTTTAATACATGTTTGAAGTGACGAAGCTGTCCCCTTTTTCAGAGGTTTCACTCCATTACATTGAGAGCTGTGACAAAGGACCCTCCGAATGAAGGAACCTGCCTATTAGGGACACTTGTTTACCCTTACTAATACACTAGTGTATTATATACTACCTCCGAAATAATAAAGGACACACTTTCAACGTCCCCAACACTGTACCGTGTTCATATAAGAGTTGGTGACCGTGCTACAGGAAGAGACGAGGGAGATTCTTGAGTGTCGGAGAAGAGAGTTTTTTGACTCTGACTCCGACTACAGTACAGACAGCAGTCAGGACTCGAGACTGTCAACAAGACCACTGGCCTTCCTGTGGAAGGTGGGACGACCGAGGAGAGGGGTAGGGAGGAGGGAGGGTGGGAAGGGAGAGGAGCGACCAAAGGCCCTGGTGATTGACGGGGGCACCCTCCCATTTGTGCTGGACACCTCACTTAAGTCTCTGTTTCTCGACGTGGCGAGTCAGTGTGTCTCTGTCATCTGCAGTCGTGCCACTCCCATTCAGAAGGTTAACTTAGTATGTACATGTATGCAAATGAGTGAGTGAGAGTAGAATGTGCTATTGTAGCACCGTTGTTTGATGTGCCTTATTCAATTGTGTTTTACATTTGAACCACGCTCACCTACACTACAGTGTGTAGTGGGTGAAAGTCCCTCCTGGTTCAGCTTTTCTTTTTTCCCTTGGAAATGACTTGTTTGCTTTGCCTTTGCCTTTGCCTTTCTACCTCATATTTGGCACATTATTGTCGTGCATGAGCAGTGAGAGTGTATTGTGATTATGTCCCTATTATCTAACTACTGAATTAACCTGTGGCTGGACATTATTGGATTCTCTAGGAGTGTGTAGCTGTGTGTTATGTGCACACTGCATGATTGTGTATTCCCTGCAGGCGAGTGTGGTGGGTCTGGTGAAGACAGGACTGAATCAGATGACCCTGGCCGTTGGTGACGGAGCCAATGATGTCAGTATGATCCAGACTGCCAACATTGGTGTGGGCATCGCTGGTAGAGAAGGCATGCAGGTGAGTTATAGCGATAGAGCATGTCAGCAATGAGGTTCGCAGAGCAAGGGCAAAAGCAAACAAGTCCACTGCAGACAGGATGTTTAGCTCAAGGATAAAGGAAGAGATTCTTTTGGTGGGATTTAAACTCACAACCCTGTGCAGTCTAGGAGAGCGCTCTACACACTGGATGGTTTCATCTGCGATGTGTAATACACATGAATATGCATTGATGATTACACTAATAATCGTTTCATCTGCGATGTACACAGGCAGTGATGGCGAGTGATTTTGCCATGGGGAGGTTCCACTTTCTGGAGAAGCTCCTGCTGGTACATGGTCACTGGTCCTACAGTAGACTGGCCAGAATGATGCTCTACTTCTTCTACAAGAACATGGTCAGTGACAGACCTTTCTTCCTCCTTCTCCATGTATAATTAATTCATACAGTCGACAGTAGTACATGAAAAAACATGTTTATAGCATACTAGCTAAAAGAATAATAGAAAGAGCCCATGCACTGTATATACCATAAATGTTTTTTGCCTTGTGACTTCTTTGTTGACACATGAATTTATGGTAACTTTTGAGTGTTAGATAAAAGCGTAGTATTGTGTCACATGTAGCAAATGCCACGTATGAATGAGTAAATCCATGCCAGCAGAGTG